GCCCGGCCTGACTTTCCGTCAGCCTCCGTGGCTCCAGGGCTCATTACTGCGTTCTGCGCGGATGGCCACCCACGACGTTGAATGACGAAGAAGCGGCGGCTGCGGAGAATTTCACGGGAGACACCGAGTTGCATGGAGACATTGAGACTCGTTCTGGGCATCGGGTCATCAGGTACTAGAAACCGGGGCAATTGGTTAGGCCGAAAACATTTTGGCACAACACTGCAAACTCCAGACGATGGCCATTACAAACGCGCGCTTTGTCGGATCATTGAGACCATTGTTCACCCGTAATTCACGTGTCTTCGGACAGCTTGCCCATCTTTCTCTCTGAGGCTTGAGCTTGTGTATTGTTACTTGCTCGGCTTTGCTTGGGAGAGGGTATTCCACTGGTGTGGGCTGCAGGGGTGGCCATAGAAGCTTACACACACCGACTGACAGAGAAATGTGTGTGTCAACAGTGGCAATTGGTTAGGTGCCACGGAGGGGTGGAGTCGGGTCCTACAAAATGGTACTACAGAACGGCGATCGAGGAGACACGATGCGATGAGCTCAAGATGGTAGAGAGACGGAATGGAAAAGGAAGACAACGGTGTGAAAAGATAGCGATGAGAGTCGATGAGATGAAGACTGAGGCAGGGATGGTATGACGAGATGACGAGGAATGAAAGTTAGAGATGGGAAACGAGGAAGCGAGTGATTGCGGGATGTTATGAAAGAAGATTAAGATGGAAATCGCTGAGAGAGACGTTGAAGACGACGAAGTCGATGAAGACTGACAACACGGACCATTTGTGAGACGAACTTTTTGCACCCTATTTAGACGAGATTTGCAGGCAGGGAGGCGGCACGTTGAGACATTGTGTGGTTTTATTCATTGATAACTTCATCATTTGTGTCGTCATGTGTTTTCTTTATATATGCATACCCTTGTATTGTTGCAGTTACTTTCTTTAAGTGCCTGCCCTGTGTCGAACGTCGCGAGTGTCAAAATCATGCGTTATATTTTGTGTAGTGGTTGATGCACGCGGGTATACGATGTTTGCAGTTATTAATAAATTAAATGAATCAGTAAACAGGAACAGGTCGTAGCGACTTCTATTTCCCGGCCCCATCACGAATTCCTGTGTATGGAAAGTAGTTGAGACGCATAGCCAAGAGGGAACCGAGAAAAAGGGTTGAGCGTTCTTCCCCATCTTTTGCGATCGGTGGCGTAGCGGGGACGTCTCACAGTCATGCATGCACTGTGGATTCATGGCATCATAGAAGCCTATGCACACATATTAGAGAAAACCTACAGGGTATCCCCATCCACCATAGTCCTGCATAAGGAAAGCGACATAATTTCAATGAAGAAGGGTGTAAGGCAGAGAGAAACAATCTCTTCCATGGTATTCACCGTGCGTTTACCGGAGGTTTCACGGCCCTAGATAAGGAAAAGATAGGTATAACATGTAAAGAAGAAAACCCTAGTAACCTGATATTCGCTGATGACATTTCATTGATAAGTAGCTCAAGGGACTATTTGTAACTCATGATTATTGAAGTGGGAACGGATGGCAAAAATTTGGTCTGAAAATTATGATGCATAAAATTACAGTAATGGGCAATACTCTCGGCAAAGAACAGCGCTTTGAAATAGGTGGTCGGACACTGGAAGTCATAAAGGAATAGGTCGACTTAGGACAGGCACTAACCGCGTAGCCTGACTATGAAAAGGAAATACCTAGAAAAACAGGGATTTGGTGGAGCACAATTAGCATCATTATCATCATCATCATCAGGATGACTACGTCCACTGCAGTACAAAGGCCTCTCCCTTGTTCCACCAGTTAACTTGGTCCTGTGCTTGCGGCAGCCAATTTACACCCGCAAACTTTTTAATCTCATCTGCTAACCTAACCTGCTGTCTCTCCTTAACCCGTTTACCTTCTCTGGGAATCCAGTTTGTTACCCTTAATGACCAGCGGTTATCCTTTCTACGCACTACATGCCCGGCCCATGTCCAGTTCCTCTTCTGGATTTCAACTATGATATTCTTAACTCCCGTTTGTTCCCTAATCCACTCTGGTATCTTCTTGTCTCTTAAGGTTACATCTACCATTTTTCTTTCCATTGCTCGCTGCGTCGTCCTAAATTTGAGCTGATTCCTCTTTTTAAGTCTCCAGGTTTCTGCTCCATAGCTAAGTAGCGGCAAGATACAGCTGTTATATACCTTCCTCTTGAGAGATAAAGGCGATCTACCTGTCATTATTTGAGTGCTTGCCAAATGTGCCCCACGCCATTCTTATTCTGCTAGTTAGCATTGTAAGCATTCAGCAAGCATTGTCAACTCATGAATAGCAGTCCAGCACTATCCCTCAAGAGGAAGGTACATAAGAGGGGCCCCTTAGCGGCACCTAACTGCGGATCAGAAGCATGGAGTTGCTCAAGAACGGTTAAATATAAATTGAAGAAGACAAAACAAGCAATCTAGAAGCTATGATAATCAGGAAAGATCCAGTAAAAAGTAAATCTACCAGTAATTTTATCACTTGGCGGAACTTCATTTGGTTACTGCCACAGAGATGTATGCTCCGCTGTGTTTGATTACATCAACGCAACTAAAAGATTACCGTGCTAGGGAACCCCTACCTTTTCAGATCTTTAGTTTATAATTCGTAGTTATGTCTTTCAAAAACAAAAGATGGTTTGACCGCTTGCTCAGCAAACATTTTTTTTTGGTAGTAATATTTTGAGCTACTTTTTCAGATTGGCTTCATTTTCATTTTAGTTTCATTTAAGTACCCTGCCGCCCAGTTCTTGGCCCATTCCCCGTTGTGGGTAAGCGCCATCCATCAGAGGTCATCAGCATCAGCATCAGTAATAAGGGCATCTTTTTGTTCTAGGAGAGTAATGGCCAGCTATCTCGCCTTCGTTACCTTGCACTATCGCCACACGCCCGGTCGTTTCACGTCATGATCAACATTACCGTTATCAACGTGACATAACATTGTGGATAAGAAAGTGGCCAGCACTGAATTTTCAGAAAAGAAGCGCTCGCGAGTCAGATGGTGATTATTATAGTGGGACAAAAGGACACCCCTTTCACTCAGATCTTTTTTAGAGTGTAGATATATCCTTAGGCGCCAGGCTGTGAGCAGAGTGGGTCAGGCAACTAATTGAATTTAAAGATATCGTTGATATAAAGAAATTAATGTGGGCCGCGAGCGTTACGTGGGGGCAGGATAGCCACTGCAGATCGCTGAGGGTACCTTACTGAATTCTCAGTGAAGGCGAACGTGCTAGGGGGACACAGAAAGTTAGGTGAGCTTGTGAGATTAGAAAGTTTTCAGGTACTACATGGCATCAGAATGCACAGGACCGGGTTGTTTAGCCCTGCAGTGAGCATAGTCATGCTGATGAAGATGGTGAATGTGTATTTGTTCTGTGATTATTTTTATTGTTACTACTATTAGTAGTAGTAGTGGTATTATAACCATTGTTTTTAGTATTAGTAGTATAATGACATACCAACACCGGACAAGGCTTTCCCCTAATACGTTAAAAAGGGTGTATATTTTAAAGGGCATGAACTAACCTTCGCAAGCGGAAAAAAATGAAAGATGTTCTTGTTATGCCCCCACTGACGCCAAAGAGCCGCTTCGCTCATTGTCAGTGACCTCCAAAATGAAGTTCGGTGAAGTAGTGCAGAGCTCGGGCTGAGAACAGTATTTCAGCAGAATAAATAGATGTGCGAGAATAAAACGTAATGCGATGAAGCCTGATAATAGGAAGATGGTCGCCTTAAAGGTTACTCACCGCAATATGTGTTCGTCGTACGGTCGCGTCGCGCAACACCAGTTCAGGTATATATGGACCTAGCTATGCCTAAATTTCACAATGAGCATAGCATTTAAGTCATGGCGCACATTACGTGTATGTCGTTGTTTTCATGTTTCCACCTGTCATATTGTTCGTCATACAGTCACGTCACGCAATGCCAATCTTTCGGTATATCAAGCGGTTGCAACAGCCACAAGCTCACCGTGAGCGTGGCATAGAAGTCATGGCGTGCATACATGACATGCATATCATTATTTTCTTGTTGCCACCTGTCATTTATGAATACATTTACGGAACAACAGTTTTGCCTAATACGAAGAAATTTAAACGGCCACAATCGTCCTGAGACCATTACATGTAAATCATGCCGTCCAAGTCGCGTAGCCAAGGAGTGGAACACCGGGTACGTTCATTGGTTGTGCCAGGCTCAAGTATCTTCAGTGACTGCTTGATGTTACGCGGTATAGGCTGGTTCATCCGATACTCTTTAACGGAGCATTCATGCTGCGCACCGGGACAGAGCTGTTTGAAAGAGCAGTTCATGTCAAGATAGCGGGTAAATTACTACAAGTGGATTTTTGCGTGGTGTTCGTTTAAAAACTGGGGTATACAAAGCAGACCAGAATGAATACAAGAGACAAGAGCTGACGAAGCGTTCAGCAAGAGTCCCCACAACACAAAGTCCACATTGCTCGGTTGTATGAACGGCCGGCTGCACTTACCTATTCTTCGTCTGTGTTGAACTATTCTTCCTTCTCAAGAGCGAGAAATGGTGGTCGACTATAGGTGAATAACAAGCATGCAAAACCTTTTGATTTGTAACAAGGGCGTGAATGAGTACCCTACTTGTGATACTAAACGATAAATTTGTAAATCCCTTGACACACTAAACAAAACTTGTAGAAAAACTCTCCTTAGGCTAAATCATTCTACTGTAATCGAGTGCGACGTGATGAATAGGGTGCACAGAAATAAAGCATTCTCGCAGGCAGTATGGAAATTTACGGCGCTAAGAGTGTAATAGGTTTGTTTCCTAAATAATCACGTGACTTTTAGGCAGCGTTGCGAATACAGAATTAGTTCACAAGAGAGGAAATGTCACTGAAAAAGCGTCAAAACGCAAACTAATCTCACATCGATACCTTTGAAATGGCGCATTGAACAGAAGGAGCATATTCTGTAAATATCGCAACCTCCTTTATTCTGGCATTTTGTAAGACAAACGACGAAAATTGGAAATGTTTCTCCGCGCTGTTTCTAGATAAGAGCATTCTAGAATTGTGTCAAGCGTGGCAACATATATGGAAGTGTTTGTCGAAATAACGAACACTTGAACCATGTGCTTCCTTAGTTGCGCAGTAAAATATACAAAAGGATTTCACACGCTAGCCTTTCTCGCCTGAGCAGCACTTTCACAAAATCACTTTCCTCAAAAGTAAAGTATCTTCAAAAGCCCTCACCAAGAGTGCTCTGCCAGGTCATGAAGCTTTATTTTGCTAACTCTTGAAGTTTCTTGTATAATCATCCGACCCTCCAAAGCGCTTCTCTATTTCCATGGCAACCGCGAGGCATAGCCTGTCGTTTCCTCTCTTCGCGACTAGCTGGACACACAAGGGCAAATTGTCCGCCGACTTCATGACAGGGCACACTGTCGCGGGCACCTTAAACAGATTAAACAAAGCTGTCATGCTGATTCCATCGAGAAATAGAAGTTCCTGATTCTGAAATGGGGCAGCGCTTGTGGCTGCTGGCAAGATCAGAACTCCGTCGTCCCCCAGTATTTCTTCGAAGCGGTCGCGGGTGTTCTCTATTGCAGTGAGTACGGCTTCGCCCTCCTGCGTCGTACGGAAGCGGCTAATCAGCGTTGTGAAAGACGCCATTAACGCGACAAGTGTGTGCCGACCAGCCCCAACCAGGTAGTAGACCAGCTCGACGAACGGGTTGAGCCCGCCGGGCCTGTACATCTCGACCACGGGCTTGGTCCCTTTGATGCCGAAGATCTTGGAGAGCACGTACATGCCAAACCGTATCTCTGGCAAGCACAGCCGCTGCGCCTCGAGTCCATGTGCTACCTTCAGGTGTTGAATGACCTGTGATTGTTGGAAAGACAAGAAACATTTTGAACGATGTGACGTACATTGATTACACTGCAGAATCAAGAGGAATGGGAAGCAGAAAGTGGAATATGTTTCAATACACCAAAGCAGCAAGAGATCTAAATACAATTGATTATAGCACGAAAGTATTGGGCAGAACTAAGAAAATGGCATCATCCATTTCATGAAACAGGAAAGGGGCGTAATCAAAGTTCCCCTTGACGTGTACACTCAGCAGTTATCGCTAGATGGTCGTGATCCCGTTTCGCTGCGAGAAATTTTCTCGTGTACATTTTGTCGGATGTTCACTGACGTGATTGATATGCGGTGTTCAACGTTCCAAAACGACGACGTGATCCGGAGAGACGCCGCAGTAAAGGGCTCCGGAAATTTCGTGTTCAATGTTCGTATATCAGTCGAAGCAATAGCTCAATCTCACCACCGCATCAAGCGGGTGGAGCAGCGCACAAAACTAAAACTACATGAAAAAATACAAAAAATGACACCTATTCCACGGCCCACTATACAATCGCTCTACGAGTAGTACTTATTTATATACCCACAAGCCCTTGAATGTAGAAGATACGCATGATAAGGCCACACCCTGTCTGGGGTTGAAACAATAGCCATGCCTTTTACTAAAGCTTAGAGGTATTCAAGAAATACAACATTAAATGTATTTTTGATCATGCACTATACGCGAACCAGGCATTATATCTTTAACGTAATCAGTGTCTCTGTGTACGTACCCGTGTCCCTATGCTACATATGTCAAAATTATTGGCCCTCATTTCATCAACTCAAAAACGCACAACCAGACTGATTACTGAAAGTTGGGCGGATTGGTACTGAGTCATGGTTAATTTTCGTGCAACATACACACGGATGAGAAAAACAAACACCAGGGAAACAAACTAAGAACTGATTTATTGAATACAACATTTTTTTTATTTCTTCGAGCCTAACAAATGCCCCCCGCCGGTGGTCCTGAGCCCCCACGAGACAAAACTAAAGATTTCTGTTCAACAATACATCATGAAAAAAATAACACACTAACAAAAATTTGCGTTGAACGTCACGTATCTGTAGCAGGATTCATGCACGTGCCTTTTTGTTAGTGTTATTTTTTTAATGTAGTGTTGAACAGAACTCTCTGGTTTTTTGTAGTGGGTGTTAAGAAATACTATTGCGGGGCGTTAGTTAGTCTCGAAGATATAACTGCATTTTGTGGTATTACACAAATCAGTTTTGAGTTTGCGCCCCTGATGTCTGTCTTTTTTCGTCTGTGTATATATTGCGTGAAAAATAGCCAGAGTGATTGGCGTGAAGCTCTGCTGTGTAGCTACCTTCCTGAAATATACTCATCACACTTGTTTCTTTTGAGTATTCTTGCTGTGCCTTGTGGATGCCTGCTGAACCTACTTATCATAATGGGTATCCATGTTCTTAATTGTGAAGAGGATTTCTGCCTCGCTCTGTGATTTACTAGCCTCTTACAAAGTCATTATCAAACTTCGGACCATCGTGTTTATGAAGCTCCGACACCCCCCCCCCCCCTCCCCAACGTGTAACCTGAACGAGCAAAACGTTGCCTCGCCTTTTAGGAGCTTTCCGTTTCGAGAAGTCTGCATTAGCTTTTCGCTTGAAATGGGTAGTTTACAATGTTTTTACGGTTCGGACAGTTATCATACTTTGCGTTCTTGTGCAGACTTTATTATGCTCACTGTGTTTGCCTACCTCCGTTCGTGCGTGTAACTGTGCTTGTCTGTGTGTGTGGGCGTGTAAGGGGGCGTCAAGGTCCAATGTGTAATTGTTGCGGTTATTGGCACAGAAATATTCTTGTAAAGCAGCTCAATAATCGGTGGGCTATGCCATTCACCTAGGTTTCACTCTGTGCATACATCAAAGTGTAAACGTTGTTGTCCATTTGCTTCTCAGGAGATGTAATGAAAAACACTTCAAAGTATGTACATAGATGTTTGATATAAGTACTTACCAGTCTAACAGCCTGACGAGCATCGGTTGTCACGCGACTGATGTAAAGGCTGCCTTCGGTGTCCATGTAATACAGCTTCAGGCTCTTAAGGTTAACCTGCATATTAATAATTTTATGCCGTCGAAAAAATAAATTACACTATAGTAGGCAATAGAAGTTTGGACATTATCAGTGCTTATATATTCGAACAACCAGGGTGAATCGTAAGAAGCAGTAATAACCCAGAGGAATTAGTCATCCTACGAGTAACGACAGGGAAAGTAAGGAAACCCCTAGAAGGAATGCAAAGAGGCAAAGCCGCTGGCGAGGATAAAATAACAACGGACGTGCTGAAATATGGCGTAGAAATTGTGTTAGAAAAAAGGTCACAGCTTTGCCGCACAGGCAAACCAAGGGACGCGATAACAACAAACTGGAAAGCAGATCGAAAGGTGCCCCGCACTTCTCACGTACAAACGATGCACGATACTTACTCACAGATACAGATGCACGCGAATAAGCGTCTCAGTTTACTTCGCTGTTTCTGAAAAGCGCGCAGTTTTCGCAAAGGGAGACTGCAATGATTGCAGTGACCTTTGACAGCCCGGTAACTGCAACAGAATCGTTCCAGGTAAAGTCCAAGGCCAGCCAAGGCGTACGCTCCTCCTCTTCTCTCTCCGCCCCCCCTCACGAGATAAGGACGTGCGAGGTAGCATCGCTTCCCTCCTCTAAGCGGGGCAAAATACGCGTGAGAGATTAGAGTGCGCGCCGTGGCGCGATGTGGCGACGTGTGCTCATTGCGCCATCTTGCTGGTAATGCTGAAAATACGATAGCTCCCCTTGAGATTCCCGTGAGCTGCGGTAAGTAACAGATATAAATAGCTTGCCATTTGAACTGAGATGAACGTGCTCCTCGGTGGCTCGGTAGTTAACGCCTCGCACTCACAATTGGAAGACCCAAGTTTGATTCTGCACGTCAAAGTATTTTTCTGTTTTTTTTTCTTGCTTGCACTTTCATATATATAGATACGTATACATATACGGTTAGTGACCCCGACGCCGGTGGCAAAATACAGCCGGGAGTGTCCATATAGTTGCTATCGCAATGAAACTGACCACCTTATATACGAAGTAGCTCTTGACAGGAAGGGTGCGAGGATCTTAGAAGAACATCAACATCAACCTATTCTATAAGAAAGAAGACGTCAAGGACCCAAAAATTACAGGCCGGTCAGCTTACTCTCCGTTCTCCAGAAACTATTTACAAAAAATAATTCCTAAAATAGAATTACGGCACAACACAGTTCAATCAACCAAAGTAGTATTTTGTGCAGGCTACTTCACAATAGACCATATTCGTGGTATCAATCAGGTAATAGAGAAATGCGCGGAGAAAAACCAACCTCTATACATTGCTTCCAAACATTACGAGAAGTCTCAGCCGAGACATCGGCAGTATGCAGGCATCGCGTAATCAACGCATCGACGAACCCTACATAAACATACTGGAAAAATCTACGGTGGATCCATGGCCATCATAGTTCTTTAAGAAAGCGACAGAATCCCAATAAAGAAGGATGTAAGGCAGGCAGACAAGGTCTCTTTAATGCTATTCACCGCGTGTTTACAGGAGGTTTCGAAGGCCCTAGATTGGGAAGAAATGGCGATAAGAGATAATTGAGAGTATCTTAGTAACCTGGGATTCGCTGATGGCATCGCCTTGATGAGTAACTCAAGGGGCGAATTACAGCTCAATAATACTGAACTGGACTCGTAAACCAGAAAAGTGGGTCTGAAAATTTATATGCACAAAACTTAAGTACTGGGCAGCAGTCTCGGCAGAAAACAGCACTTTGCGATAGGTGGAGAGATACTGGAAGTAGCAAAGGAATATGCTTTTTTAGAACAGTTAGTGATCGTGGAGCCGAATCATGAGAATGAAATTAGCAGATAAATAAGGATGGAGGGGATCACATTCGGCAAGCATTCTCAAATGATTAATGGTAATGTGCCACTAACCATCAAGAAGAAGGTAAATAACAGCTACTATTAAGCGGAAGCCTGGATGTTTACAAAAAGGGTTGCGCTCAAATTGAGAATCACGTAACGAGCGATAAAAAGGAAAATGATAGAGGTAACCTTAAGAAACAAGAAGAGAGTACAGTGGGTCAGGAAACAAACCATGGTTAAGGATATCGTAGTTGAATCGAATTGAATTTGAACTTTGTTCTCACAGTCATAGTCTGAATTGAAGGGGCTAAAGGCTGTATACGGCTGCCTAACAAAGCCCCCTACCCATATATTGCCCAGGAGTGAAAAAGTGCGGAGCATGAGAACAGACAGATAACAATAGATGATCAAAGTACGGCACACAGGATACAGCATACAGTCAAAGAACAGTAAGTAAAATAGCTATACTCAGTACACAACAATAATAACACAGGTACGGAAATGTTTACACGAGTCCTGACGATCAATGGTACAGAACGTTATAAAAGAAATACGTAGAAAAAAAAACAAATGGCAATGGCACGATATTAAGGACGGATCAGAAGCTCATCAAAAGGTAATCTTTAGCTTTTTTTTCGGACGTGGTATGACGAATAGTTGGCCTGAATCACAATGGCGATTTCTCAGTTGTTATAATGCCCGAATGATGGCCTGAATAGTTGAAATCAAAAAGAAAAAATGGACATGGACCTGGCACGTAGCACGTAGGCAGAATAACCGCTGCTCATTAGGAGTGACTGACTGGATTTTCATAGAAGGCAAACGCACGAAGGGGAGGCAGAAAGTTGGGTATGCCGATGAGATTCAGAAGCTCACAGATATAACGTGGTAGCAAAAAGCACAAGACCGCGTTGACTGGCGAATCATTAGAGAGGCCATTGCCCTGCAGTGGGCGTAGTCAGGTTGATGATGATGATGCTGCGGCAGAAATTCAGTTCTTCGAGCATATTCATTTTTTCCATGCTGAGTGTTCTATCTCATGCCAAACGACTCAAGGATGAGTCGATCTTTCTGTGATTTTGATAAGCGTTTGTTTTGCTCAAAGCATTGGGCCTAAATAAAGTTGTCGAGTGCATTGAAGATGAATAGTTTTTTATGGGGGGATAAACAACAAGAGGGAAGGAAGGGAGGTTATCCAGGCACATGCCCGAATTGCTACCCAACGCTGGGGGAATGGGGAGGGGGGCATAGAGATGAGAGAGAGAGGAAAGAGAAGAGAAAGAGAGAGAGAGAAAAAAGAGCATTATCAGTCAATCGGCTGGCACGTATGCAGCGGTGGCACTACACAAAAGTTAAAGGTGGTCGCGTAGGCCTATAGTCCTCAAAAAGCACAAGACAGCTTTGACTTCTTTTTGAGCCGACGAAAGGCGATGACGGTGTTCCAGCAGCGTCTGCACAGAGAGTGGCCGATCGTCGAATTGTCGAAATGCGCCCGAAAGCTTCTGTCTTTCAGAGGCGAATCGAGGGCAATGGCATATCAGATGGTCGATGTCTTCTTTGGTGCAGCAGACGTCGCATTCCGCATTGTCGGTCAATCAGATGAGGGTTCTATATGCTTTTGTGAAGGCAAACCTCAACCAAATGTGACAAAAAAGTGAAGCTTCACGTCGACCAAGTCCGGATGGCGGTCGAAGTTCCATCCGAGGGTTTATTTGGTATAGTCTCGTATGTCTTATGCTTGGTGTGTTCCACTCCTGCAGGCTCAGACTACGTGCCAGGTGACGAAGTTGCTTTGCAGCGTCAGTCCTTGACAAAGGAATCGGAAGGGTGTGCTCTTCTTGGTGGGATGTGCGAGCCGCGTTGTCTGCGGAATCATTGCCACTGATCCCACAATGGCCAGGAAGCCACTGACACTTGACCTCGTGACCTGTTTCTGTGACGTGGTCAACAAGCTTGAAAACTTCGTAAGTAAATTGTTCATGGCAACCTCGTCGAAGGACTGACTGCATGCTCTGTAGGGCTGGTTTCGAGTCGGAAAACACAGCCCATTTACTCGGTCTTTGGGATTTGATGTACTCTAGGGCGCCACGCAAAGCCGAAAGTTCTGCCGCCGAAGACGTAGTGAGGTGTGACAGTTTGATTCGCAGAGTGATTTTTCTAGCTGGAATCACCACCACACCGCCAGAACCAGACGCTATGGTTGAACCATCGGTGTATATGTGGACGTGGTTGTTGTACATTTCGTGCAGAAGGCTCAAGATCAATTGTTTTAGGGCAGATGAAGGCAAATTTGATTTTTCTGTATTCTTGGAATTGAAACACGTGCTTGTGTAAGTGTCAGGCACCACGGAGTATACACCAGTTTCTCAGCAAGCGTAAAACCTGTCGTAAACGACGCACGATGAGCACAGACAATTGCACTAAATCTCGTGTGGGGCCTCTCAGTAGCGAGGGTTTTCAAGTGGTGGGGAGGAATCCTAGCATGTTGCCTGAGGTACGCACGCATCGTTCCAATGATGATGTGCGTCATGATCGAGTAGTCCTGTGCAATGGCAATTGTTTCAGCTGTCGATGCGCATCGGGGTAAACCAAGGCATATCCTAAGCGCTCGGGCTTGAATATTTTGGATTGTGCGCAGGTTCGTTTTGCACGTGTTAGATATAACAGGTATGCTATACCGCAGGAATCCAGTCAATAATACCTTGTACAGCTGTAAGATAGACTCGACAGACATTCCCCAACTTTTCCCAGCAAGAAACCTGAATAAGTGACAAATGGCAGTCAGCCGCTTTTTCACGTAGTTTACGTGGGGTGTCCAAGAGAGGTTTCGGTCGATTACGACTCCCAAGAACCTGTGACTCCAGCCGCATGACGCCAACTGCCCACTAATTGATATGCCGTAAGCGGACAATGGTTTTCTTGTGAATGCCATGACTGTACACTTCCCACTTGCGATTTCGAGCCCTTGTTTGCGTAGGTAATACGATGCCACTGATGCTGCCTTCTGAAGTCGAGCGCGAAGTTGAAGTCAAGTCACACCTGATGTCCACACGCAGATGTCATCAGCATAAATGGAAAGTCGTACACTGCTTGGATGCTTGCCAACCAGTCCAATGAGTGTTAGATTGAACAGCGTCGGGCTTAGCACTCCGCCTTGCGGGACTCCTCGGCTGCAGTAATACTCAGGTGTCGTGTTATTCTCTGTCTGCACGTGAAATGATCTATTCTGTAGGTAGCTATGAACCCACGTATATATCCTGCCACCAAGTCCCACTCCTTCTAGTGCTCTTAGAATGGCTTCGTGGGTGACATTGTCGTATGCCCCTTTAACGTCAAGAAACAGAGCAACAGGAAACCATTTGCAGGCCTTCTGGTGTTCTACATATGTCACAAAGTCAACTACATTGTCAATTGACGAGCGGCCTCGTCTGAACCCGGACATGGCATCTGGATATATTTCGTAGAACTCTAAGTACCATTCCAGACGCGTTAAATTCATCCTTTCCATAACATTTCCCAAACAGCTCGCGAGGGCAATCAGGCCGTAAGAGGAAATGTCCAAGGGTGATTTGCCGGCTTTGAGAAGTGGATTCAGGCGACTTCACTTTCATTCCTGTAGAACCATGCCAGTTTGCCAGGAGTCGTTGTACAGCTGCAAGAGTGCATTCCGAGCTTGATCTCCTAGGTGACACAGAGCACGGTAATTGATGCCGTCAGGTCCTGGCGCTGAAGAACGTTTACACAAAGCAAGCACCGCCTTTAGTTCGTCCATTTAAAACGAAATCTCTATTAGGGGTTCACGTGAGGATACAGAAAAGTCGGGCGTCTTCGTCCCAGTCGAATTTGACCCGCAGGCAATTCTTCGACAGAAAGAATCTGCGACATCAATCTCTTCGCAGCGTAAGTGAAGTGCCAGAGATTTTAATGGGTAGCTCTAAGTAATGGTTGTACGAAGACCCCGGACAGTTCTCCAGATTAGTGACAGAGGCTTTCTGGGATCTAAAGACTCGCAAAAAGATTCCCATCGTTGCTTGTCCAACTTGTCCATGTGACGCTGTATTTTCTTTTGTGTGCGTCTGGCCACTCTCAGATCATCAAATTACCTCGTGCGTCTATAACGTCGTTCTGCACGACGACGAATTGCTCGGAGTTTCTCGAGATCAATGTCCATATCAGTGCGAGATGAGCTCACCGGAAGTGAACGCGTCGTTGACTGTAGGGCACTCTTTATTGCGTCCCCTAGGTTGAAAGGTGAGGCGCCAACATAGTCTTCCATGATTAACTTGTATTTTTGCCAATCGGTGCACTGGACGGATCTGGAGGACTTGAGAGTTGGAAAGCCGTCAATCTTCAGGTATGTTGGGATGTGGTCGCTACCCCTTGTTTCCAAATCCGAAAACCAGTGCACTCTGCTGGCGAACGAGCGTGAGACAAAAGTGAGGTCCAGGCAACTGCTATAGGCCGATCCGTGCAGATAAGTGAGGCTGCCGTCATTCACAAGGATAAGTTCACATTCAGAAGCGAAAGACACTAACTGTCTCCCTCTAGTATTGACCCTGGTGCTTCGCCATAAGTAGTCGTGGGCACTGAAGCCACCTGTTATCACCCATGGCTAGAGAGTGTAATTCGAAATTCCGCACAAGCGCTCATGGTCTAGACGACTTGATGGAGGTAAGTAAGCTCCAATGATGGTGAATGTGGTCTTATTGTTTTTTACTGTTAGGCAAACGTACTGGTTTTCTTCGTCAGGGAGTACAGGGTGATGAACATAAGTTAAGTCGCGCCGTATGAACACAGGATCCTTGCTGCGCTCTCCGTGGGTAGAAGACATAAAGCACTCATATCCAGACAGTATTATCTGAGCTGACAAATTTGGTTCACAAATCACAATTATGGAGAACTGGTTCGTGAATACATATTGCCGGAACTCTGACATACGCACTCTAAGTCCTCTGGCATTCCACTGAAGGATAGATGCATTCTTGACCTCCTCCCGGAAGGATAACATGTTGCGGGCCATCGTTTTACCTTAGAGCTGCAAACACCGAACTCAAAGTGTCCAGCACTTGGAGTGCGCTCGGCGCTGATAAGGTGTTCATGTTGCTTAGGAGCATGCGCATTGCGCTCATAAGGGTCTGCAACGTGTTGATGACCTGGCGATGCTCACTTGTCTTTTCATCAGTGGTTCGTAATGGCATCGAGGTTGGCGGGACTCGATGCACCTCTGAAACAGGATGTGTTCGGGGAAGTGATGGCCACTCTTCACGAGGTCGGAGTCTTGACCCTGATTCTGTTTTTGGTGTATCAGTCTTCACAGAGCTTGACGATGGGGGGCCTTTTCTTCTTGCTTGAGATGACGTGTCTCTATCGGCAGATGTCACGTTGCGTGATGATCTTCTGTGGTGACGCCGACGTCGCCTGACAGTAGCAGCGGCTTCTCTGTGCATTGAATAGTCGCGCACCATGCGTTTTAGCACCGCGCATATATTTCGCACTCGTGGGCAATATTTAGACGACGCTTTATGAGCGCCGTGGCAATTGGGGAATTTCAACGCGGTTTCGTGACAGGTGTCTTCTGAATGAGGTTCGGCACACCGCGAGCACACGACATTGCTGGTACATGCTCCTTTGACACGTCCCATTTTGAAACATCTGAAGCATTGTAGGGGCTTCGGTATGTATGGACGGACCTGGTGGCGAACGTGGCCAACTTAGACGTGTGGGGGAAAACTGTCTCCCTCAAAAACAATCTTCAGGCATCGTGACTGACCAAGCCTTGTGATGTGCTTGATGAGGATGTCGTCTGTAGTTGGCTTTATCAAGATTAGAAAATCGTCAGCGGGAATGGAAATGTCCACGTCATAAATGACGCCAACACTGCCCTTAAAGTCAGTGGAGATCACTGAGTTAACTGTGACTCTGTCGACTTCCAAGATGTTCTGTAGGCTTTGCAGTGCATTACGGTGTAGAACATCAACTGCCAGAACATTCTTCCGTGAGTTGATCCTGACGCCTTTAATCTTATTTGGAGCGAGTCCTTCGAGGTATACAGAGAGGACTTGCCTGTTGAGCCGCCGTAGCTTAGCTGAAGGGTCCACAGCCATCAATAGTATAGTGTGTGGCCAACGCTGCGCGGTAGCCTGCACGGTGGACATACTTGCCGTCGACGATGTTAGTAGCAGTCTTTTCTTGCATTGCGGCTCATGACGACTGTGTAGTAGTCATCCGATGACTCGAAACCGTCGGAATAGAGCTCCGTTGCCTCGCTGTCTGTGCCACTTGAGGTGGTCTCACGTTTCCTGGCCGCTGCCAGACGTAGCGGTTGTCCACCTCGAAAATCCTGAGAGGCTTCTTCATCCATTCTCGCAAGGAGGGAGCGGCAGCTCCCAGAATTAGCGGTAAAACAAATAGAAAATTTCAGACAAGGGTACAAGCGTTCTATGAAATGGACACTTCGTCGTCGTCCTCGTTTTTTTTATGAATCCTCGTTTTTTATGAGTCCTCGTTTTTTTATGAATCAGTAATGAACTGATTCAGTTCCCGCTGACTGAGTGGTTGCTTTTATTTTATGCAATATTGGCTTATTTATTTACTTTCCCATGATAGAGTGATGCCTGCGAGAGGACGTTTCTGTGTTCTCATCCTTTACCGTGGTGTTCAATCAGTCGATTTTTCGAGATATTAAAACCTCTTTATAGCATTCCTGAAAAAAAAATCACAGAGGAAAGAAAAACACGTTGCTGTACTTTTGAACCCATCTTTCTGTATAAAATATTGGAGAATGCACTAGTACGTTACGAGCGTTCTTATTTTTGGTTGAGAACCGCAGCTTGAAATTCCTGCACAATATCCTAGAAATACCAAGAAAACTTCAGAACATAAAGAAAACTTTTTTTCTGCAGTCGTTACACAGGACCAGCTCCACACATGTACACACCTGATGCAAACATGACAAGCTTGGAAGAGCTTAGGGTTGGGTATGTTCGTATCACCTTGTCAATGTGAATATGTGCAAAAAACACAGCCAAACAGCGGGCATTTTGTGCACGCGCTTTTTATTACCACTTTTTATTACTGCTTGTTAATACCGCTTTTTATTAACATTTTATTACTACTGCGCAGGCAAGTAGACAAAAACATTTTCATCGAGGCCTAATTTTTGAAAGAAAGTAGTTCCATAGAAAACACAAAAAAGTGGCCCGTCAATATGGCCGACTGGACGAGTATTCTGAAGGAGGAGTCTGGGACCTCTTTTGCCGACGTGCCTACCATTGTGTGTGTTGACAGTGTTTGATGACGTGCATTACAATCGCATAGCCATATAGAAACGTACGCACCTTTTCATTTAGTCTAAACACGTCAGTGGCACTTCCTGCCAGAACTTTCAGCATCAGTGGTAAGTCTTCCGCGAACCGGGCCATGGGTCCCACGCACAGAAACTGAGCCAGGTTTTCTCCCACATCGGGCATAAGACCAGTGATGGGCACTACTCCTGCGCTTGGGCAGTGCACAAAAAGGAAGAAATTTACTCGCAGTGTAACTCTTACCTAAGCAAGCATATCTTCATTTAGGAATGCTGCTGCTTTCCAAAAGCACCTCGTCGTTGGAAAAAATATCGTCTCGGCTTTTGAGCTGTCATTCCTCGCTTATGATGCTTGTGGCACGTGGCAGCTAGATTTCTTGGAAAACTTTCAAACCGTGTCACTTTTGCGCGCACCGCTGCCAATGTTGGCGTACTTGCATCACGTCACCTGCCATCACTGTACCCTTTCTAAGTGCTTTGTGCGTGCGCGTTAAGGTGGTAGGCCATTCAACAAGAAAAATTTTTTAAGGGCAGGCAGCGTTGAAGTAACGTTTTCCTCAAAAACCAGCATGTCCTATTTATTTACCTAGCTATTTACAGTGCAAAATATTGAATATTTAGTTATTTGGAGGTAATCTTTGTGAAAAATTGCATTAAAAGTGCTAGCCACGTCAGCTGTGATAAGTGACTACTAGGTGGCTTTATTCAGTAAAGCTTTGACATTTGGGTAACTAATGGCTGGAGCTATGCAGTGAACTATAATAAATATTATGCAGCGAATATCAAGAACGTAATATTAAAAAAACTAAAAAAGCGAAAAAGAGCCAATTTATACTGAACCCGTTGGAGAATTCAGCTGTGAACTGAAAAAGATTCGATGGATTTCTTTTATTCTAGTTCACTGCAAAGATATATATGTTGTAAGTTATTGTGCAAAATTTCAGTTGAAAGTATGCGCTGAGCAATACGTTATGAAAGTTTGCGTCGCAACATTTGGAGCAAATCGTTATTTTCAGAAAAAAAACGTAAACAAAGATTTCCGAGCTTGTAAAAAAATCACAATCTTTGCGTGCCGGCCTAAAATGCACCAGATTCATAGCTGGGCCCTTCTTTGGAAGCATTATTGTCTCCTTTTGTTCGGGTGGCTGCTAGTCTTCTCTTCCTAGCCTGTTTTGTCCCATCCGCTGACTTGCGTTTAGCATTCTACATGCGCAGGTGATTCCTGGCGATGCAAGCTTTCGTCGTGTGGTACCCTAGTTCTATGTCAGCGTGCCTCAGGATTTCTAGGGTGCTTACACTGCCATTATTAAAGTGTGCCACAGCATCATGCAAGGCAAACATTACTGTAGGCAAGCTTACGTAGACCTCTTTGGGTGTCCGCTGCCATATTAGACCATTGAAACACTCATTGGCATTTTGAGTCTTTCCATGAAGGCACTTCATTAGAAGTTCATCAGAGCACAGATGACAGTAAACAGTTTTAACTTTGTTGAGCACATCATTTGGAAGTCCTTCTTTGTCTACATTTTTCCCTTGGCCGAGTGCTTAGACCCTTTGTTATCCGCACCAGGTTTTCGGTCTAAGTAGACACAGGCTATGTCTTGGCTGCTTGTTGGTAGAGCTGCAATGAAAAAGACTGGCAAGGGTAGCCTTTTACATTGCAGAAAGGTTCCCCCCATTAGCCCTTATGGCGATGCCATAGTACTTTTGCAGGTGGTGAATGAGGGCATCATTGAGCTTTCCCTTACCACCGAGTCCACGCACTGTATTCTTCAGTTTTCTGAGGCGGCAGCCAACACGCTTCTGGACATGCCCAAAACATTCCAGTTTCTTCACACTGTCCTTTCCATACATGCCTTTGACAGCGGCATAGCTCTTGGAATTTTTCGAAAGCGAAACCACAGTTGGAAATGTAGTTTCGGATAGGGTATAGAAAACATGCTGTAACTCGGAAACTAATGACGCTAGGAGGATAATTTTTGTTGCAACATATATGTAAATGTTTGGGCGTGCGAGAAAAATAAAACCCTGAAAATTTATTTCGCAAAAAAAAGACTTTTGAAGGTGGCCTACCACCTTAAACGCATAGCGTGGCAGCACACTTAGTAGTACCACGTGAAGTCCTTAATCGTATTTCGCAGCGCCCATGCAGGTTCTAGATAGTACCTCAGCAACAACTAAGCCTAATGCCGGAACCTTCCGCCTGATTTTGGTGATCATGGCAACAACTTTATCAATAACTCCGGCCTAAGCCGCTCTGAAGTAGGACCGGAGTCCTTGTCTCCTCACCATCTCACGCGCTTGCTTGTAATTTATTTATTTATTTATTTATATCATTCCCTGCAGAAAATTGTGAAAGAACGATGTTCTACGTGGCTTCATGATGTTTACAGCAAAGAACTCGCCCACCTCGAAGAATGCATGGTTCTACAGTAACTTACAAGAAGATTGCTGTACAAACTCTCATGCAACAGTGTTCTCCTGTTCGGTTCACTCTGTTCAGATATTGAAAACGACCTACCCTTCCCACGTTACGCCATTCTGTCTCTGTTTCCTGACACTTCTTTCCCTCACCAATCCCTTTTCACTGTGCAGGGTAGCATAATGGTTATGCCAAACTATTTACATTCTTGCCTTCCCCCTCTTTCTCTCGTTTCTTTTCTTCCTTCGCCTCTCCATTCCTCGATCTGTTGAACATATTTAGCATGCACTTGGAGTTAGCGTTTCTTCCACGAGAGATAAATGGAAGGTTTATCAAGCCTTAGATGCTTCATCAAACCAGAGCATGGTCCACCTGGGATGCCAATAGAAGTGATGCACTAAATCACCATGACGGGATCACGTCCCCATGTAATGCCATGAATCACCAACTTTGCGACCTTAATGTTATGTCACATAACGTGACAGCACGTGATTATAGAGAGACACGTAATAAAGCAGAGCTTCAGAAGGAATGAGCGGAAGAGACAGACACCACATCACACAGTCAATTGGTCCAAGTTAGGCTGAGCATGCAGGCTGTGTAAAATAAAGGACCGTTAAGAATTATAGTGATGTACTACGACCATGGAGGCAGTTGATAGCCACTTTAAATGCAGGAAGCCCTCGGAGGAAGGCGACGTAGAATCGATAAATGTGAATGCATTTCCTCATGAATGTGCGACTGAGTAGTGGTATCACGATCTGTCTGAACGAGATGACAATGGCGACATAGAGGGAACCTAATGCCAGCTTCATTATCAGCCTTCACCACCGTAGGCAAGGCACGCCACGGCAACTTGGTATAGTATGCGTGTGCCATCCCTGGTTCAGTGACGTTTGTCGGGGATTTGGAAATCCGCTGACAAACCCTTTTGGTACTTACTTGCACGTCGAGTGTAATCACGCACTTTAGGAGTGGGACTATGGGGTTTGTAATAATTTTGGTTGCATCAAAGGTAAATCGAACTTCAGTTTAGCTGACGTGACACGTCGTTGACCAGAACAAAGATCACCTCGTGCGTGGCAGTGTATGCCGCATCTTGAAGATATTGACTGCGAATTGAAGCACCGTAAGGGAAAAGACACAGTCTTCCTGGTTTCTTGCCGGATGCTGCATTTTGAACAGTTTCAATGTGAAATCAAGCACCATAATTGGAAAGGCAACACACGTCGTGGTGCTTTGTACTGGTTACACAATAAATCATACACAGACAATGCAAAAAGAAACTTCCTGAGAGCCTCTCTCACAATTACGCTGATGAAGTTTTGTTACTTTTCCAGTAAACTTCTATGGACCACCATTGATGACCGAATTATTGTAAACAATATGAGGAAACTCTCAATAGTGTGGTGGGTAAAAGGGGAACAAGCCGTTACATCAAAAATCAAAATAATAGATTTTTAAACATCACCTGTTGTTGGCTTGTGGCCAAATACTCCGCAGTAGGCCGCTGGTATTCGCACACTTCCGCCGAGGTCGGTTCCCAGACCAATAAGAGATCCAGCTGCTGCCAAGAGGCTTCCCTCTCCACCTGCCGTTTGCAGAAAAAAAGAAACAATTGTCTTTATGTGGCTACTGTATATTGTATATTTCAACCTTCCATTCGGTCGATATCACATCAAAATCATTAACTGTCCTTTTTCTTCACTGTAGAACGATGACATCGCGTCATATCCAATATGTTATATCTTGCTCGTGATGACTCCAATTCATGCCGGCAATCTTTTTAGTTTTATCACTTTATATAAGTCACTCACGTAATCGATTTGATTTCTCATTCCTTGGTATTAAGGTCATTCCTAGCTGACCGCCTAAAGACAGTCTCATGCATTACGGAGGCCTACCATGTCCATTAATTTCTTCAACCAGAATGTGGGCTGGCCATTAAGCTGCCAGCCCACAGCGATCCATATCGAACATAAACACGCCCGCCACGGTGTCTAGCTTACTCGGCTGCAGATCTTTGAGGTCGTTAATGGCGAAAATGCTTGAGGCTTGTGTGCTTACATTTAGGTGCCCATTAAATAACCCCAAGTGGCCTAAATGGCCGGAGCCCTCCTCTATGGCGTTTTTCAGAATTGTATGGTGGTTTTGGGACGTTAAACCCCAACAATTTTAATAAAAACAGTGCACATAACATAAAAACTGCAATCCTACTTCCGAATGACTTTGAATGTACAAGACCCGCACGCACCACTGCTTCCACCTGGGCTCCGTCGTGTGTCATGCGGGTTCCGCGTGCAACCGTCCACCAGGTTTTTTGAGTCACACCACAGGCACATCTCGGGCACGTTGGTCAGCGCCAGCGGGATGGCCCCGGCTTCCCGCAGCATTGCCACACATGGGGCATCTTTGACGGCACGTCGCCCATGCCAGAAAAGGGAGCCCGCGTCCTGTCGCAAGCCTGAGAGGTGAACGCACTTCCGATGTTGAAAATTGCACTCAATTAAATGGTTAGAGATTCCATGCTGAGCGGCAAAGTTAAAACCGGTTGCCTTCAGATGAGGAAAATGCGTTGCTGTCTCCAGTAAATATGAGCACAGTACCCAACGCTGTCAGTGTTATTTCGCATGCTTGCATAATAATTCAAGTCCCGCAATGAGGGCCACTGTTAAAAGCAAGGAAAGTTAACTGCCAATGTTAAAAATTTCACTCAATGAAAAGGTTAGAGATTCTATGCTAAGCGGCAAAGTTAAAACCAGTTGCCTTCGGATGAGGGCAAAACGTTGCTGTCGCCAGTAAATATGAGCACAGTACCCAACGCTGGCAGTGTTATTTCGCATGCCTGCGTAATAATGAAGCCCCGGAATGAAGGCCACTGTTAAAAACAAGGAAAGTTAACCGTCAATGTTAAAAATTTTACTCAGTGAAAAGGTTAGAGATTCCATGCTAAGCGGCAGAGTTGAAACCGGTTGCCTTCGCATGAGGGTAATTCGTTGCTGTCGCCAGTAAACAGGAGCACTGTACCCAACGCTTGCAGTGTTATTTCGCATGCCTGCATAATAAACTAGGCCCCAGAATTAAGGCCACTGATAAAAGCAAGAAAAGTTAACTGCCAATGTTAAAACTTTCACTCAATGAAAAGGTGAGAAATTTCATGCTAAGCGGCAAAGTTATAACCGGTTGCCTTCGGATGAGGGTAATTCGTTGCTGTCGCCAGTAAATATGAGCACTGTACCCAACGCTTGCAGTGTTATTTCGCATGCCTGCATAATAAACTAAGTCCCGGAATTAAGGCCACTGATAAAAGCAAGAAAAGTTAACTGCCAGTGTTAAAAATTTCACTCAATGAAAAGGTGGGAGATTTCATGCTAAGCGGCAAAGTTATAACCGGTTGCCTTCGGATGAGGGTAATGCGTTGCTGTCGCCAGTAAATGTGAGCACAGTAACCAACGCTTGCAGTGTTATTTCGCACGCCTGCATAATAAAGGAAGCCCCGGAGTTAAGGCCACTGTTAAAAGCAAGGAAAGTTAACTGCCTAGAAAATAGATTGAGCTCCCGTTGAGAAGGGACCAGATTGGCATTACACGGGCCAGCAGATGTACGTGAGTACAAACTCGTAGGGCCTGAAAACGCTTCATGCTACTACTCACGAGTGATAACATTAACACAGGAACACTCGCTGGTATAGACCAATCTGTCAAAAGTCCATATGGGTTTTTTAGTCTTCATTAACAAAATATGTCCTGAACACGTGTATGAGACATGCGGTGATACCATTACGAATTTCGCACAATGATAAACGTGTAGTTGTTTTATTACATCGCAGAGCACCTTACATTGTCACGTTGTTACTCATTTTTTCGTCGTGATGTATTGCCCACAAAATATTGCAACCACGGTTCTTAGCGCTTCAGCATTAACTGGCACTTTGTCACCGATGTTTCCAAAACACCGCGATACCTCCCTATGGACTCTCGGAACGCTTCATGTTTTTTTGTTATAGTATCTGTGTAAGAGTCTTAATCAAATGTTCTGAGTCCATCCGTGTGTTTTGGTACTGCAAAAAACCTCGCGTCACATTTTGATGAAAATAGCGACACATTATACGTGTTTACCTGATAGGTACGACAGCTGCCACCAACTCCGAGTATTCTCTCAGCCTCCCAGTCTCCTCAAATATAAGCAAGTCAAACCTGCAGGCTTGTGCGTTTGCAAATATTATATAAGTGTTAGGGTGGCTTTGATGCCACGCCACCATTCACCTTTCATCTGTTCAATTTTTTCATTAAAAAAACTGATGACCAAACAACTTTCTCATGGTATGTGTGATCTACCACCTTGCTTGGGCATTACGTTTGTTCATGACTACAACCGGCATATTGCAAGCCCCCCATCGGTAAATGACCTTTGACGGCGATGCTGTTCTTGACAGTGAATGGCAGCCCCAGCAGAGGCTTCTTTATGCTCATATAGCTCGAGCTCATGGTTTCCGATGCCACCAGTCTGTCGACTTCCTCGGCATCTTTGAGAGCCTCTTCGAATCTTTTCTCGACGACAGCATTGATGACGGGCTGCACCTCCCGGATGCGTCTGATGTAGGCCGACACAAGGTCCACGCTTTTAACCTACAAGGGCAAGAACAAGAAGACCATGAATACCCAATTAGTTTTCTTTTATCGTTTCGTTCATTCATATGCGCATAAAAAATGATTCGGTGTCGCCAAGATGGCAAACGCAATACCCACGTTTCCAGTAAAGAATGTGTGAAACTTTAATCGCTGTCTGCGATGTGTGTGGTATCAATATGACAACATTATTCAATTGGTCAACAATATTTTGAGTACCAATTCAATACAAAATCGACAGGCGAAGTATTCAACATTTCTGCGTAGCACAACTATACGCATTTTGCATATTTCAATTAGGGGCATACATACTTGGGCAACAAACAGCCTTAGCAATTACGCTTTTATTACGTTTTTTTTCAGCCCTAATGTGGAGCGCAAGGGATGACCCCGTGGAAACACTATGTACGAAGAACAATGATGTTTTCTGACATTTAAAATAATGTTTTTTTTTCATTTCGTTGGAAAGCACCACTGGTTAATTTCGTGCGGACTCAGATCTCAAACTTACAAAGCTCCATACGCATTCCACGGTTGCCTCATAGCGTATGTTTACTGTATGTCTTGTGTTGCACTTGTGCTGCCTATGAAGCTGTGCTCTTGATAAAGTGGATTTTTAGTGCACGTATTGGTGTATCACAAGTGCCTTTTTTCTTTTAAAGGCTTTGTTAAAGGGACACGAAAGTCAACTATTAAGGTGACGTTGATTGTTGAAATGGCGGTCCAGAAACCTCGTAGTGTTACTTTTGTGCCAAGGAAGGGCGTATTTTGAAATAAAACCACGTTTTAGTGCTCCGCGTCGTGTTATCGCACTTCAAACTACCCGCCTCAGGAAGCAGACCGACCGGACCGCTTCACGTCACTGTTCCCGTGCACAACATTGCCCAGCTTTACTGCGCAAGTATCAGCAGACCGAAAGCAGTGGGAGTCACAGTAGCAGAAAGGGCCATTGATCAATTTCCCGCCATTGGCATCGAGATAGCAAACGCTTTTGTTTCAACTGCGCCCTGCTAGATGGCATCACCTGTCCCGTGTAACCACGTGAAAATAAAATTTTTGAACCACTCGTGACATTCCTCATGTAACGTCCGGTGGTTCTTTTTCTCATGAGTCGAACAGAAACGAACAAGCAGCATTTCATTGCGTCTCCTAAAGCACGGAACGTTCTTTATTTAGTGCATTTAGATCGCTTACTAGTGGTTAATTGTAGGTGGTCCATGTGATGTCATCGGGATCAGTTTGAAAATGTCCTACTGTGGCACTTCCGTTCTTGTTTCTTGTGCATTTACTTTAATTTCTTGGTAAGTATAGGCCACTGTTGTTTATAATATTGTTACTTTAAATGTTTTCATACATTGTGCTTTCACTCTGACGTAAATTGTTATTTCAGTTTAGAGTCCCTTTAAAGACACGTAGTTCTTTGTGCTGTTTAAAAAGAACATAATGAGAATATGTAGAGAAAACAGGCAAGAAATATTGAACCAAATCGTGAATGCGTCATCAATTCAAAACAAAAATTACTATACGTTAGGCATGAATTGTTTGAATTGATAAATCTCAAATTTATTGCGGGCATTGTTATGTGCCCGCATTTCAGATCTCACTGACCGGTTAACGGCCTGGAATCTTCCTGAGCTGCACGGACCATCTTCCGCGAAGTTCACCTGAACATTTCGACACCTGGTTCACCAAGGTGGACTCGTTTTTCATCATTTTAGAGGCCTTTTCGCTGCACCGGCGAGCTAAGCCTAGGCGAGGTTAGGCGAGCCTCCCCGCCTACGGCGCTCGCACGCCAGCTGCAAGATGCCGCAGCAGATTACCATGAAGGAGGACGACGTCACCCCTGAGAAATTACAAGGAAACGGATGGTTCTCCGTTCTAAAAAGACGGCAAGAATCGCGCGCGACGTCACACGCAGCCCGCCAGTCGAGAACGCAACGAGGCGCGACAGGAACGCCTAACGCTACTCTACGACGCGTCGCAGCTGCGAGCCGGCTGCCAGCGATGCCACGTAGTCACAATCGAGTCATCGTGCGACCGGGAGGTGGCCTCAACGTGCAAGCCTACAGCCCGCACAGGATTCTTGCCGCACTAACCATGGAAGCTTAGCTAGCGCCGTCGGTAACGGAGGAGGACATTATTTGTCACAACTCGATGCAAAACATTTTTGTCGTCAGTACGCCCAGCGCTACTAATGCAGCAGCGTACAGTCGAGTAACAGAGATCATCCTCACCGACCAGAGACACCCGGTCACGGCCTACCTCTCACCTGCCAGTATCACGAGCCGAGGCGTGATTCGTGGCGTCGACACTGACTTCGACGACGCCGCACTCAACCGCATGCTAATCCAACCGCTTAACTCAAGCCTACTGGGAGCGCATCGCATCAAGAACACTGAAACTGTGATTATGATCTTCAACGGGCTTAAAGTACCTACCTACGTCTACTGCGGCCAGGTCATCTACCGCTGCACGTTTTACAAGCGCCAAATAGACACCTGCGGCCAAGTGGGCCATCGCCAAGACGTGTGCTTCACTCCTTCAACCAAGGTATGCGACCACTGCGGACACTTACCAACGGACAACCCACACGTGTGCAACCAACCAGTGTGTGCCTTATGCGGCGAAGCACCCCGCACGGGCAACCGCGAATGCCGACATCGCTAACAGCTGCCTTACCTGGTGCGCCGTCGTCGTCAGCGTCGTCGCCGATGAAAACAAGCCCAGCAGCAAACACCCACCTCAGCACCCAGCCGGTTCATGCCAAGACCACCGAACCGCAAGGACCTCCTCTAGGCCCACGAAATCCTACTTCTACTGACCAGCCTACCTGGGCCGACAAGGTTGCATGCAAACGTGAGGCCCGCGCAGCGCAGCGTCAGGGACACTTGCCACAGCAATCTGACCCAGAACTAGCACAGTTAAAACACATGTATGTGGAGCAGGCTAAAGAAATCCAATTCGTTAAAGAGCTAGCAAAACAACAGGCCCCCGAATCGCGCGAGGGTAGCTCTATCAGCGGCCCCGTCTCAATACGCGGCGCTAAGAAAGGGCAGGCCCGACGCTCAGGCCGAAGAGCAATCCGAATTTGACCGGCTCACAGCCAATATATACGCGATACTAGAGCAGTACCGCGCAGAGACCACGGCTGAGTGCTTTCAACGCTAACCTAGAGAGCATGCAGAAACAACTTATCGAGGTGGCTGCATGGCTAGCACAAATGGACGCGAGGACTAAGGTGTTGGAGGAGGACCTGGCACGCAGTGAGCACACTGCGCTGATACCTAGACCTTAAAATGGCGTCGTCACAATCATTCACAATTTGGCAATGGAATGCAAGTACCCTCCGTACGCGGAGGGAAACGTTACAACAATTCATTGGCTCTATGATCCAATGACCGGCCGTCATTCTCCTGCAGGAAACGCGTATCAACCGATTGGCTCTTCGCGGATACAGAGTCGAGGCCTTCTGTGGGAACAAAGCTCGAGGAATAGCCGCCTGCGTGGCTAAGACTTATGCTTACACGACACATGCAGTACGCCCAGACCTCAAAATTTAGCATCAGATGATAGAGATCGTCCCCAACGCTCACATTAGGCAATCGGTATTTATCCTTAACGTGTACAGTTCACCTTCACACAACACAGAAACATTCACCACACTACTAACTAAAGTGACGCAGATAGCAGGCAATCATCCCTTCATCATCGCGGGGGACTTCAACGCCCCCATTGTAGAATGGGGTTACAATCGCACAACACAGAAAGGACGCCACTTACCAACGCACATCACTCAACACAATATTACGTTACTTAACGACCTCTCTACCCCCCCACATATAGGTAACTCAGTGTCACGGGACTCATCTCCTGACCTGACCCTAGTACGCAACGTATCGAATCCCACATGGGTTAATCTGCGAGCTAACCTCGGTAGCGATCACTTTATCTGTAGCACAACAGTCAATATAGGCAGCCTCGAGCCCAGAGACGTTAAAGTAGTAGACTGAGACTTCTTTAGGCAAATACGCAAACAAGACACCAACCATTACTCTTCACTCTTGGAACTCTTTGCGAGACTAAATCGGGACGTAAAACAAGCTACCAAAAATATTTCTACAACACGCAACAGAGACCCCATGGAGAGCCACCTGGCACATCTCCTGGAGGCTCACAAATGTCTTCAAGATGGAGAATGCATAAACTCAATCGTAGGCTACGAAAAAGAATTGCATTGCTCAACCGACAAGTCAAAGAGTACAGTCAGTCACTAGCACGCAATCAGTGGAATAAGGTGTGTAATTCGCTCGACGCATGCACGAGAAAGGGTCTAAAATGGGACCTTCTCAGGCATCTGCTCGGCGACAAGCCCACTAAGTCAGAGCAACGACTAACCCTAGATAGACTGTTACACAAAGCGCGAGGACAGCAACTTATCGACACACAGATTTTAGATGCTACAGCAGCCCGGTATCTATGCACAGAACCTACCTCACATGAAGACTATCCACCTTACGCGGGGGCCACAGACGACCCATTTGAGCAGGCTATAACTAGCGCCTCAATACGCGCGGTAATAGCAGAGCTCAATACTAAGTCAGCCCTCGGTCCTGGCGGAGTCACCAACAAGCTACTGCGCAACCTGACTGACCATGACATTGAATCACTAGCCACCCACATGAATGAGGTTTGGGAGCAAGGGAGCGTCCCACCGGAATGGAGAGCCGCGATCGTCGTACTCATTGCCAAGCCGAACAGACCCCTAGAGCTCGACTGTCTACGACCCATCTTCCTCACATCCTGTGTGGGTAAGGTCATAGAGCACATCATTCTCCGTCGAGTCACAAAATATTCAGAGTGAAAACACCTCTTCCCATTCAATCAAGTAGGGTTCAGGCCGGCTATGGCCACGCAGGACGTACTTCTCATGCTGCAGGAGACATTACTCAGAGTAAGGAACAAAGACCTCAAAGCAATCCTAGCCCTCACTTAGAAAAAGC